TCCTGCTTCGGGTTGAAGCAGCTGGGTTAAGAGAAATCTCATGTTGATTATCACATTGATGTGTAGCTCGATCCCTATCAGGGATGTCCGTGTCGGATATCGGCGACCCTCCGTGTTGGGGGGCATTCAGTTGATTGTTGACCTCAACAGGGGCGACGAGCTTATGTGTTTGAGCCTGCCTAGCCTCGTGAAGCATCTCGAAAAGTTTTTCATATTGTTCTTGGAGGACTTCATTCTTCATCGCTATCTTGTTGTTCTGAACTTCTAGCTCATCGACTTTAGCTTGAAGAGTAACTCTATTTCCTTCCTGCTTTCGTTGCTTCGTACTAGGTCCAGCTGGGGTGTCATTCTGTGTGTTGTGGCTTCTTTCGCTCCCCATATCGGAGAGAGATGCTTGGCCAAAAGAGAGTGTACGAGCGGTGGAAACCAGCTTGACAAAGCTGAAGAGAGTGGGAATAAGTGTCGTTTCCCACAGACGGCGCCAAATGTTGATGCACAAAATCAGCGAGGACTTTGGTACAACAGAAAGTGTCAGGTTTGTGACCTTCGCTTGGTTGCTTCGATCACTAGTGAAGATAAGTACGTAAATGAATAGGGACAGGGAAGCAAACACAAGATGTACGTGGTTCACCCAGATCGGCTACGTCCACGGAGTAGAGGAGTTCTCATTAATTGTGAAGGGTTTACACAAATACATAGGTTCAAGCTCTCATTTTGTGAGTTCTAGTGAATAGTTTAGTACAAAATGACATTAGAGATTATTGTGGGAGAATGATCCCTATTTATAGAGGAGAGTTTCTAGTTTTGTTCTAACATCGACACGTGTCGTGTTGTGATTGGCTTCTGATGTTGACACGTGTCGAGCTGTGATTGGCTTCTGATGACGACACGTGTCGCTTTGTGATTGGCCTCCTGGTTGAAGGGAAGCTCTTCTAGGTCCTTGACGGTATAACGTTGACCGGTGCTCAGTAGTTTCGGGATTGGTCAAGTATGGTACAAACAAAATCTAATGAGACTAAGATTCTCATAAGATAATTCATTAATTATATTCTACTTTACCCAATTTACTTTTTTTCAGGTGCTGAAAATACACGTATTGTGTGTTTGATATATACAATTAATTATATGCAGATTGTAAGGGGAGAGTTAATGATTTTAAAAAGGAAAGAAAATAAAGACATTAATGCACAAAATTATGGAGATGAATGCACAAAGGAGGCGAAATTAAAGTGTACAAAAAATACCTGAATCAATGAAATGCATTTTAAACTAATTACACATTAATATGAGATTCAATGTCCTGAAAAACTAGAGGTGCAATTTAAGTTGGGCTAATCTGAACCCGCCCATGTCCAACCTGACTTTAAACCCAAACAAGTGAGGTTTTTTTTTTAGTTATAATGCATCCAAACCCAATCCAATTTCAACCCGTTCATTGATTGGGTTGAGTTTGGTTTATCATTTGCCCGTTCATCCCCAACCCAACCCAACCTGACTAACGAAACTCAATCTAACCAAATTGTAGCCCATATCAATTAATGTGCATACTACCCAAGTGAGCCAAGTCCAAAAACCAACGCCCTTTCTAATATTTTTTTTAATAAATTACCCTTTATAATTACTTAAACTTTTAGGGAATAAGATGATTTGATTAATCACCCCATATTCGTAGTCTCTAAATCTTAAAACTTTATAGTAGATTGATTTATGAAATTAAAGTTAGCTAGCTTTGATGCTACTTGGCTTAATTTTTTTAGGAATTCTTGGAAACTAAGTTACAAGATTAAACTTGAAAAAGTTGGGCAACCCAAACCCAACCCAAGTAATCCTAACCCAATTAAACCCGAGCCAAAATGAACCGGAATGCAACCCGAGCCTGAATTGTAAAAGTTGAGTTAGGATTGGGTTGACCTTCTAACCTGCCCAACCCGCCCGAGTTGCATCCCTATGAAAACTACACAAATTAGAATTTGTTTTTATATATATTGAATGACTTTATTAATTTAAACGCTTATAATAAATCTTGACAAAAAAAAACACTTGACAAGTGGCTCTTTACCACAGTAGTGAAAAGGAGTTGAGCCCTTAATTATCGTCTATAAAGACATTAATACACAAAATTATGGAGATGAATGCACAAAGGAGACGAAATTAAAGTGTACAAATATAGCTGAATCAATGAAATGCATTTTAAACTAATTACACATTAATATGAGAATCAATGTCCTGAAAAACTACACGAATTAGAATATTTTTATATATTCAATGACTTTATTAATTTAAACGCTTATAATAAATCTTGACAAAAGAAAAAAAAAATCTTGGTAAGTGGCCTTTAACCACAGTAGTGGAAATGAGTTGAGCCATTGCATAACGGCGTGAGTTCAAACCCATCGGTGACTAATCTAACAAAATTTATCATTTGACAAAAAAAAAAAATCTTGAGTATGAATTCTTGTTTTCTCAATTTAAATTATAAAATCTGATATACGATACACGTTATTGAATGTGTTGTCATGTTTTAAAATTTGCATAAAATTAGGCTTTTTTATTTTTTTTTTCTTTCCGAATTTCAAATATGAAAAGGCGCTAATTTTTTTTTTCCCAAGAAAAGGCACTAATTTTGGGTTTCTTGCTTTCAGTGTAAGTATTGCTCCCAAAATTAGTTCTTACATAAATTTGGAAAAGTTTAGCAGCATTATCTCACACTTGGTTTTTTTCTTTCCATATTTTGATCATTCATTGCGTTTTTTTTTTCAATGGATGTGGTATCAAAATACACATTGGGCAAAAAAAGTAAGTAATTTATACCTTTTGTGTTTTTATCTATTTTCGTTTTGGTGTTTGTACATCTTGTTTGTTAATTAAACTAATGTGATTCCTCAAATACCTGTTGCCACCAATTTAGTCAATTAATTTTTTTTTTGGAAGACTGGAAACTATCATAACCAGGGCACAAGCCAACAATACATAGAAAGCCCACAGGAGGGGCAAGCACACAAAACACACGAAAGGTGTGAGGGACAACAACATAAGGACGCTGCAACAAAGGCTAAACGTCATCCCACCACACCCCCAACAACTCAAAAACACTTAAGGAGGGCAAGGAAGTCCATCCTTGTTGAGAATGTGAATCAATGAAGATGGGGATCGTTTGACCCAACAATTGCTGCACATCTCCATGTTCTGCCTCGACGCCAAAAAGTTTGCCGTCTGATTGGCCGATCTTGGAACCCAAGACCAACGATAGCCCTGGAAAGAGGTCCCTAATCTCAAAATATTTTCTAATATTGGAAACACTTCCCAGCTGCCATTTGAAATATCTCCATTCAAGGAAGAGACCACCTCAAGCGAGTCCGACTCCGCAACCACCCAACTCAGCCGCTAACTCACATCCCTTCAACATCGCCATTGCCTCCACAAACACCACTGATGGAGCCATAATAGCAAGTTTATCAGCCGCCACAAATTGACCCTCATGGTCTCACAACACCGCTGCTAAATTGGCCCTACCACTCACTGGGGTCCAACTAGCATCCACATTAGTTTTGATGTAGGGGCATTTGGAAAGCACCATTGAGGATTTGGCTTGGAAGAAGCAGTGATAGATCGGGATATAAAAGACTTTGAGACCCGCGCCTCCCAAAAGGAAGCCAAGGATAATGAGATAACATGAAGCACATGGGAGGGAACAATGGTTATAGCATTAAAGACATAATTACACCTTGCCTTCCAGATATGCCAGCAAGAAAAAGCAATAATGGAAATGAGCCTTGATCTCTACTGCGGGTGAGAAGCCAAGTTTATCATTTCTCGGATCCAAGAATTAAAAGAAGAAACCCCATCACCCATCCTCCGAAGACTAAGTTGCCCGCCAAACCAAATTGGCTCCACCTAAGGACACCGCAAAAACATATGTATAACAGATTCTTCCTGATTCTTACAAATGGGACACAAAGGTGATGGAGCCGACCTACGCAAGAATAACCCCATCATTGTTGTCAACGCCTCACTCACAACCCACCATATGAAATTTCAGATTTTAGGTGGTGCATTAACTTTCCACATAGCCTTCCAGATCATATCCTCAAAATTAGGAAGATCCAAGGAATTAGATGCCCCAACCATCAACCTCGAAGAGTGAATCCAGTGATATCCCGCCCTAACCGAGTATTTGCCACATCTAGCCCCAGACCAAACCAACCAATCCCGGCAAGAAAAATACCCCAATGGAATGTCACAAATGGCCTTGACCTCCACCTCAGAAATGAACGAACGTAAAAAATCAATGTCCCACGATCTAGTACTCTGAAAAATAAGGGAAGATACCCTTGTATTCATTGTAATATGAGTGGAACTTCAGGGAATAGGATGGCCAAGAGGAAGCGCAGGCAACCATCGATCAATACAAAGCCGAGTCTCTGCCATAAAAAATCTGCCAATGAGCACCAGCTTTGAGAATATCTCGACAGAAGACTAGCCCATGCCCACGAGGCTCGACTCCCCAATTTAGCATCAAAGAAAGATGAATGAGGAGAATAACGCGCCTTAAGAGTCCGAGTCCACATGGAATTAGGATTGTGAATTAGCCTCCAACATTGTTTCACAAGCAAAGCATCATTAAAGTCTTGGAAATTCCGAAATCCTAAACCCCCTCCCCCCCCGGACCTTTAGGCAGTCCCATTTTATCCCAACTCACCCAATGGATCCTCTTTTTCCCTCCAGTATCACCCCACCAAAAGCCAGCAGACAAAGAATCAAGGTCTTTGTAAACCGCAGCTGGGAATTTAAAAAGATTCATTGGGTAGGTTGGTATAGCCTGTATTACAGCCTTGATTAAAACCTCATTACCCGCAAGAGAAAGAGCTAACTGTTTCCACCCCTGAATCTTCCCAAGAACTCTCCCATTCACGTATGCAAGGCTTTGGCGCTTAGATCTTCCCCAAATGGCCGGCATTCCAAGATAATCCCCGGGGTTAGATACCGACGACATTCCAAGGATGGCGCTAAGGTGTGAACACAGCTAAGGAGGAGCATTCCAACCAAAGTACACACTGGACTTATTGAGACTCACCTATTGTCCCGAGGCTAAACAATACATGTTCATAATATGCATGATATTTTCACAGTTCGAGGAAGATTAAAGAATCATCCTCAAAGAAGAGATGCGAGATAATGGGGCCTTTTTCTATTAGGTGTCAATTGGAGGGTGCTATTATTGGAAGATGTGTTTTCAAGTACAAATCAGCGGTAATTTTAATTTATGCTGATACATTTTTTATGGATTTGTATTTCCAAGTTCGAGGTTTGATGAACTTGTAGTTAAAGCTTTTCGGATGACATATATGATGCCTGATTATCCTCTATATTTGTTGAAATCAGATTTGGACATGCGTGTTTTGCATTTGTCATTGTTCACTGACAAATAAAAATTATGTGGTCACACAATTTTTTTTGTCATTGACGAATGACAAATGAAAAACACGCCCGTCAAAATCTGATTTCAACAAACATGGAGGATGATCAGGCACAACATATGTCATTTGAAAAGCCCGATTACAAGTTCATTGAACCTCGAACAAACTTCAAATTACAATCCCACAAAAGAAGTATTAGGATAAATTGGAATTGTTGTTGGCTTGTTCTTGAAACCGCATCTTCCAAGGATAGCACCCTCCATTTGACACCTAAAGAAAAAACAATAATGAAATATATTTTAGCTAGTGGCAAAGAATACGTAAAGGAATTATGATGCCAACAATTGGTTAAATTGGTGTCAACGGTTATTTAAGAATCATGGTAGGTTAATTAACGGACAATATGTACAAACAACAAAACGAAAACAGATAAAAAAAATAAAAGGTACAAATAGTTTTTTTTTTTTTTTTTTGGACCTTTCGATGAATTTTCTGCAGGTTATTGAATAGTCCTAAAACTCTGTTTGGTGCTGGTTTCAATTATGTGCAGTGGTTACCATCTATCTCGCTATTGCTGTCGATTTCCATAAGCTTCTGGATTGAAAAGTCAGCAACACATCTTCCATTCGTAATATTTGGAACTTATACGAGCTGGATTTATCTAAGATTCTGGCAGAGGAAACCAGAAACAAAACTCAAGGGTGATCCAAGTGAAGATTTTGCATTTTCTACATTCTTCCCTGAACTTGTGAGGTAATTATTTGCCATTATTTTCTAACTCTTCACTTCAATATTCCTGGTTTCTATTGCTCTAAGTGTTTCCTGTAATTGTTGCAGACCAGTCATTGATCCTGTTGCATCTATATTCCATCGGATGCTCTGTGGAAGATCTGAAGCTTCCAATGAATCCCAAGGTTATACCCTGGGCGGTTCCTCATTGCCTGGATCTGACCCCATTGAAGCATCTAGAAGAAGGTAACGTTTCTGGTCTCAAACAGCATCCAGCTTGAATGTTAAATATTACATCTCCGAAACGAAATTGATATATTCCTTGTTCGAATGAACTGTGGAGGGTAACCTCCCCCCTTCATAAATCACACCATTTCTTACCGTTTACACGGGCTTGAACAAGGGATCTTTGAACTCCCGATCCTTAAGGATGGATCACATGCCACTAGATAGCTAGGGAGATTAATAACTTGGGTGTATATAGACCCGTGGTTCGTGTAATATTTGAAAATCAAATAAGTTTACTAGAATGGATTCAGAAACTAACATTGCGAAAGTATAAATGCACATCTTAACAGCACCAACTGAGAATAATCAAATACTTGAATCAGGAAAAAGAATCTTCATTTTTGTGACCAAACTGTCTCTTGCAGAGAAAGAGGTGCTCGAGCACTCGAGGAAAGATTGGCAGCTGAGAGGTTGGCTGCAGCACACGGTACCGAAGAGTCTGGAAGAGATGCCGCAGAGAACGTTTAATTGCTTGGCGACTCTAGTATCAGTTTCTATCAATCAACCACCCAAATGTGTCATTTCCGTTGCAACTTCAGAGGTTCCGTGTTATTTGAAGGGAAGGCTTTTCTCCTTTTTTTTCTCTGTTCCCGCTCTCTGTGAATTCTCGAAGATCCTTAAGCTGTGCATTTTTCTGTGGACAATGTTACTTTGCACAATGATTAATGTGTGTTGTTGCTCAAAATACGTAGAGTAGAAATTCTTAAAGAGGCATCCATATCCTTGAAACAGTAGGGGGCCATTTTCTCATGTTGTACAAATACATCTTTTAGCACATATACGTTGGTATAACTTGTGTTTGATCTCAATTTTTTATTATAAAAACGGAAATCTTTTTGCTCACCACCCCAAAGTGGCGGTAACTTGGATACCCTGTATCCATCAGGTCAAAATCCTGTATCCATACATATCTAGCATGTATTGTATCCGACCAAGTATCTGATACGGGATACGCAACTAGAACGATGTATCCATGCTTCATGTTAATAGGCGGAGAGTGAGTGGGGACATTCGATGCATGCATGCATAGTCGTAGTTTGGATAGCATTAGAAATATCATCCATCAACCATTTGAAACTTGGAAGTCTAAAAATATGTGGGAATGGTGCCTCCTCCAGTCATTAGAGAAACAGTTTTCACCTTCATTTGATTCAACCAAATTTACAACTTCTTATTGTCTTTATTTAGCAATCACAGAGGACAGGCAATATAAACAAGGTTGGCCAGGGTTAGCGTTTCCATCACCCCGGATTCGTTGAGAAACTTCACTTTTCATTGCAGAATTTTCACCTCCCCGGAGCTGTACACAAATCAGGGGCCGCATGACAATGTTGTCCTCCGTCGTGAGTTATATGCACAAGTCAGCTCTCGATTGATTCTCCGGCAAAGTACTGTCGGTGGACCATTTTTTTGTAATCTGTAAAAGAAAGATATAAGAACAAGAGTTGCATCAGAGGTTTGTGCAATTCAAATTGGGAAGAATAGGCACTTCATCACCTGGCATCATATTCCATGATGTTCAAGTTTGAAACATTAGTTTCGACATTCATAGCTTACGGTAAATTTGCATAAGGTACAACAACAGCAAAGCCTTTTCCCACTAAGTGGGGTCGGCTATATGAATCCTAGAAGGTCATTGCGTACAAAGTCTGAAATTAGCACGAATTGGAATCTAAGATGAAGTTCTAAGTTTTTGAATCACAGTTTTAGAAGCATTCAATACGAATGACAGAGTAACTAACCTTCCTTGTTACTCCACAGAGCAGCAGCATAGCTGTTGAGGGGGCTCTCCGGGTTTGGTTCTGCAGGTAAGAACTAAATGGTCAGGCAAGAACGAATGAAGTCCACAAGAGAATACATATAAGAGCAAGCTTACCTCCCAACAGACTTTGAATGGAGAGTAGAATAGTCCTGCAATCGTAAGCTGAAGACCACTTGTCCTGTGCCACGTATAACATAAGCTTTTTGAGATTACACGAAAATTAAAGAAAGGAAACTCAATCCAACAATAGACTCAGACTGACATTTCCGCCACCCATCAAATTGATTGCTCTTGTCAAGTTAGCAGCGCCCTTGCGATAAGGGCACATTCATGTGGGCACCGCAGCACCCCTGGGTAAGGGGCATTGGCATACTGCCATCTAAGCAGCACTTCTGAGTTAGGGCATTTACATGTGGGCAACACCGTGGATGGAAAAAGCATCACCATTGGAATTATCCAACTGATACTAATTTATATACTCTCTTCTACACAACTAGGAGAGCATTTAGATATATCCAACCGATACTAATTTTCCATAAGAATCCTAATGTACTTACTCCTCGGTACAAGAAACAATGACAATCAAATGGTCAATTTAACTTCTCCATATTACAGTCACGGACAGTTCGTACTTGAAGTTTAGTATCTCAAAGCTTGACATCAGTTTCTTTATCGTAAATGTAATGATAGATACCTGCAAGATATCAAGACATATGTTGCCAAACTGATCAACATTTGGATGGAAGCACATTGTCTCAAACTTGACTTGCGGTGGCTTGAAAGGATAGTCCAGAGGAAAACGCAAAGACAGCTTGTAGGAAAAACCCTCATACATAGTTCCTTTTCCACCTTCGATTGTGCCAACCCATGTAAAAATGCTCTCACCTTCAGGAAAAGCCGATACTCCAAGATCTCCTCCACTCATCTGAAACCAGTGGACGTTGGACGAACAAAGGTCAGTAATACAACAGTCACCAGTCTCATAATGCAGTCACTTATTCATCGTTAAAATCTGTCTAGTAAAGACTAACTTCAGTGTCAAACTCAAATAGACTACTATTAGACCTTAAACTTCGAGACGATATTATTCAACTGAGAAAATTTTAATAACACAACAATATATGCCTACAAGTGTGATAACGGTGGAGACTTCCCGAATCACCACACATGCAGTCATAAAATGAAGCTTTGCAGTCCACAGACTCACACACACCTGCCCAACCCAAACCTCTGTATCATACATCCCCATCATCCCATGATTACCAAGAATCAATAAAGTCCCTCTTTTACTTCTTAATTATGCTTTATTTTTTCACTTATGAATATAAATTTAAATCCACATCAAACCCAATTCAAGATTACAACAAAAATCAACAAAGACAGTAAGAAATTAAAAAAAAGTACACAAATTTGAGGAAAAATCAAAAGCAAAGAATCAAGAGAGAGAGTACCATGAGAGACATCAACTCCTTCTGAAGCCTACAGCACAATTGAAACAAAACCCATCTTTAGTGAGGACTTCAATTTTCTCGGGACCGATAAAAAAAGAGAATTTTCTCGGGCTCCAAACAGAAAACTAAAGAAAAAAAGGACTGACCTTTGAGAAACGGAGGTGGTGTCGACGGGGATGGAAGAAGCAGGCGGCTTTTTCTGACTAGAAGCGGGTGTATGGCGCTGACGCTGCTGCTGCATGGCCGACGAGTTGTCGGCCGTCGGGTTGGGTCGGACCTCCATGGCTGACGACGATCAATCGCCTCCCTGGTCGACGGTTGCTAACCAATATCTGATTTAACGGTTTCTGGAAAGCGGTGGTGGCGACGAGGCTGTCTTTCTGTTATTTCGTTTCTTTATCCTTTTTAATTCCTTTTTAATGCGACATTAATGGCGGGGCGACTTTAGCTGTTGGTGTACAAGATTATAATCACAACCCATAATATTATAGTTTAATCTAACAAAAAAAATATAATTATAAATTTATAAAGACCAAACCTCTAAACAATTTTTAAGAGATTACGTGACGGTTAATGGTTGTGTTATTTCAATGAATTAATAAATAAATAAATAATTCAATTAGTAACCTCACATAATGATGATGTGTTCTGCACAAATAATTTAAAATTTTAATATATGTAGCATCATTATAATCAAAAAGTGATTTACTACTCTGTCCTATTCATGCGAGAGTTTAAACTTATAAAAGATGTTTTTTCATAGGAAATGGTTTAAGGTGGGCTTAATTCTAGCCCATCACTTATGTATTGAGAGCATTGCCGCCAACTGAGCAACCACCTCGCCGCGAGCATCAACTCTAGCCCATCACTTATGTATTGAGGAGCGAGCCCTTAGTTTATAAAATGGACTCCCTCACCATCATTAGAGAGCATCGCCGCCTGCTGAGCAACTGCCTCGCCGCGAGCATCAACTCTAGCCCATCATTTATGTATTGAGGAGTGAACCCTTATTCTATAAAATGGACTCCCTCACCTTCAAACGTCACAAGCCGAGCCAACCAAGGCAATATAAGCCACAAGTAGAGCCACCTCGCAACATGTGCTACTTCTGGTTGAGCATCATTTCACTTTGAGCACCACCTCATATCAAGTACCAGTTCAAGACAACATCTAGTTACTTCTGCCCACACATGGACTGAATTTCAAGTCTCCAGCCAAAAGACTCTCTTGACTGAAGACTTGGGGGACTACTGTTTATACCATATTTAGGGCCTCGTATTTAGACCTCGTATAAATACTCGGGTGACTTAAATGTAATTATGTGATAAAGGAATGGGCAAATATGTAATAAGTGATGAGTCCTTATTCTATAAAATGACCCCTCACCCTCACAATTAGGGGAGGCCAAAATTCTTAGGCCCTCTCACCCTCTCTCAACGCTCTCACTCTCAGAGCTCTCTCCTTCAAATAAATACAATCAGTGTGGACGTAGCCCAAACCTTGAGGTGAACCACGATACATCTTGTGTTATTTACATTACTTGCAGATTCACGGTCGGATTTACGTTGTTCCAAGACATCTGGTTTTGTGCATTAACAGTATATAAATGATGAGTTTGTCTTTGTTATTTATAAGGGAAAGTTTGTCTTTGTTATTTATAAGGGACATCTGGTGTCACTGCTCATAATTCATTTTTGAAGAAAATATATGAATATCATTCCCAGAACCTTCAATGTCCTTGAATTTGATCGTTGGGGTTGGTGGTTGGCGGTTGGCTTTGAAGAAAACTAACCATCAACTGAGCTTTATGCATGTCGATCAATGTTAAACATATGCATGTATACAAGAAAACCCTAGCAGTAATGCATGGCATGGACCACCACCTCCAAATGGTTCATACTTATCAACAAACCTATCACATATGTTATTGCATGAAAATATAACAATTCCATGGTTGAGTTAACAATTGAGAAGCTATCCATTTGGGAATTCTTGTCCATTATAATTTATATGGAGGTTATCTTATCTAGACGTTAATGTCTAGTTTTTATTTTAATTGTCAAAGTTTTGATGTTTTTTCTTTTGTTCGGCCAATTAGCATTCATTTCCTACGTAGAATTTAGAGCTTAACTCTCGGACTTTAGGTTTTATTTTTCATCATTTCAACCCTCAAGCTTGTTGAAATAGCAATCCCAGATTCCATTGTAACAATCGGTTACCTAGACCCAACCCATGTCCCTAATTTCTTCTATATTCTTTTGCAAACTTGTCGCTCCAACATTGAGCTTATGCTCTATAAGTAAGTTGTCCAAGTTGCATATACCTCAACCCGCTTTAGTAGTTTTATGTTTTTTTTTTTTTTTTTTTTTTGGAAAACTTAGTAGTTTTATGTTTCTGTATAATATAAAAATACTACACCACCATCAAACGGCAGTGAGGTAGGAAAATAAAGGAAATGATATACATTAGCAATGGAATGATATTTTACAAAATAAAGTAGGGAAAGAAAGGCAGAGATATGAAAAAGATAAAATCCATCTTTTTACAACAACAACAAAAAAAAAGAAAAAAAAAAGCTAAATTAAAAAAGTCTGTACAAATACAAAAGAAAATTTGATCAGAGCTCTCCAATTTCCAATGCACTGGAAAAACAACTGAATTGTCCCATCTTTAAGCACACCTTACAACAAGATTTACAATAACCAGTAGAAGATAAGAGTTTATTTCAACTAATAAAGCTGCTCTCTTCTGTGATGCCACTTTCTCCACCTGCAAAAGAAAATAAGTAAATTACCAAAAAGCATTGCTTAGCAAGTTTGATCGAAAAAGAGGTCGAAAGCCTTAAGTGGGGGCTGCATATTTAAAGGTATCTTGAAAGGATCCGGAGAGAATCTTGTTCCATCGTGAATCCGAAGAGAATCCTCTTACCATATTTCAGTTATCAAAAAAAAAAAAAAAAAAAAAAAAAAAAAAAAAAACTCTTACCATGTTTCAGGATTTCACATCTTTTTTATGGTTATTTTTTGTTTTTATTGGCAACTAAAGTTCTTTTTGGAAAATTTTGATTTTTGCATAATTTTCACATTAATATTTGTAATCTTCAAAAGCATAAAGAAATGCCCACTTGTTACGAGTTTAGTGGAAGAGTATTATTAACTCAAGGGTTATGATTTCTTGCCAATATTTAGTTGCCTAAATTAATTTAAATCGCATACTCGAACAAAATTAGAATCATCACTAATTCAAATTCAGGCAAAGCATACATTATGTTCACTTAACTCTAAACTCACCAATGGGATTAAACTCACCAATGGTAATCCCATCGGGGACGGATTTTACTCATCCCGTTATGACCATATGGATAATCCGTTTCAGCTCGTTCTGCGTTGCGGAAAGCACAGCAACCAATTGAATATACTCCAATGAGAACAACCACCATGACAATGGTGAGGACAGAGATCTTGTGCCAGTCCCTCTTGATATCTTCAAGAACTCCAGCTTTGCATGAATCACACTCATAGCATAACAAATTGGGCGCATTGTTCCAACGGTAGCAATCTTGGTCTTGAGTCGCTGTGGTTGCCATGTCGTAATTACATGAAGTTGGAGGCTTGCAACAACCAGACTGCACAGATGCACCAAAAATATAATTTAAATACTACAAGCTGTAAAAAGACCCAAAACTATTTAACTACTACAAGCTTTAGATCGAATGAGCTAAGTCTTTACTTTCGAAACTTTTTTATCACCAAAAAGAAAGCTAATTCTATACTTTTTCATTCTTTTTCTAAGAAAACCGATCTTAAACATGAGAAACATATTTCATTAACTTTAAATGTTCATTAAAAAAAACTATATGATTTCATATTTTTATATATCTAATTATTCTTCAACCATAAATCCTACCTAAATCAGTGTCATTAATTAATGTACCAGGAACTTTTCGTTAAAGTTCCTCATAAATAAACTATTACGTACTATGAATAAAGGAAACAAGCATTAACAATTTTATCGCTATTGTGAAACAAATAAATAAATAACAAAACATGAACCAAATTTGAAGAAAACAATCTTGCAATTGACTTTAATTGTAAATAGGAGGGTGTGGAAAAACACAATCCTACACATACAAGAACAAATAATTTAAATAGCTACAATTGAAGATTACCATTTAAACAAATACATACATACATATATATGTATGTATGTATGTACTTATATTACCTGTATTGGAGACATGTCCCTTTCAAGATAATCAGTAGGTGTCCAAGCAACAATCTTAGCACAAGTTTTGGACCCCATGATGCAACTCCTAATCTTACTCCAATAATTAGGATCCTTAATCCTATTCCTCAACCATGGTGAGTAATCCTCAAGGTGGTATTCCTTATAAACCCTACCAGGCACCTCCACTCCAGCACCTTTGCTTGTAACCGCAAACCCAAACACTGTCAAACCGATTAGGGTTGCGATCAGCAGCAGCATCACCGCCAAGTACACCCAGAGTGCCCATACCACATGGAAGCAGGCACCAATGAACCCAGCTAGGGATACCACGAGCACCACAAAACCTACCACCAAAAGTGGAGTTTGGAGGAAAGTTTCACATGTGGTGCTGCTCCTTGACATCCATAGACCTGCGGCGATTATCGGAATTGATGCTAAGAGAGTGACGAGGTTCAAGAACCCTATCACTGTGTTACTGAACCTGTACATCTCTCTATCTCTCCACAATCTTTTTGTGTGTTCTTCTCGTGTGTTTGTGTAGTAGTACTCTTAGTCTTAGTTTCTTTCACTTTAAATGGGTGGAAATGGCATTGCTTTACTTTGTGTTTGGTGCAGAAAAAGCTTCAAGAATTCAAAATGCTTATCCCAATTGCTCTTGCTTTCCATAAATATTTATGTATTCATAAACTTTAATTCAAGTAGTGTACATTATATAACTAAATTATTGATACTTGATTAGTCATTGACTAAAGTGTCCTTCTACTGTTTGGTTTGACATGGGCACACTGTTATTTTGTCATGTGTTAATGAATAGCATCAGTGCTTAAATAATTTATACAAATATTATTGACACATGACATCACAGTACGGTATACTCGTGTTATTGAAATTTCTCTCCTATGATAGGCTTCTGGGAAACTCATAGCTGAAGAGTCGAGGCGGAATCAGTTCATTATACATTGTCCTAAGGCAAGAAAGGAATATATAATAGGTCGACATGCATTTGGGTAATTACATAATGTTGTGCAGGAAAGGAGTGAGTTGCTTTTGCTTTTGTGTGGTGCATGGATGGACCCATTTTGAGCTTCTTTTAAAAAGCATGATCGATCACACTGATCTCAAGCAGGATTAGGACATGACTTTGGCACCAAGGAATGGAAATATCAGAATATATATTAATTAATTAGAATAGAAAGGAAGGGCATTGCGGCTCCAATTGACACCAGTTTTCTTAATGGAAAAGTTTCCCAATTAACTAAAGTTTCTAATAATCTTTAATTAATTTGGCACGTCAATAATATAATAATGATGATCCACTTTGGCATGAAGTTTCTAATCCTCAAGTACGTCAAGAATAGAATTATAATAACGATATTTTTTATTACAAGCCATATTACAATTATGGGGTGTGCTATCCACACATTCTTTGTTAATTTCTGTCCGTTGATCTTCTTCAATTCATCTGATCCGATGGCTGAAGTAAAGAGGTGTGTGGATATCACACCCCTACAATTATAAGCAACAATAAGTAAAGAATAAAGCGTTTAAATTCAAGACACAACAAATTGAATAGGATGCCAGTAGCGGAATTCATCACCTGCAATAATGATGTTTTCTAATGCATGTAGCACCACCAAACATTTTAACTATGTACGCTTTAAGGACATGGTTTTACGTACATGTATAGATTTTCCAGATCAAAGTCACATCCATATGAAACAAGAATTGCATTCTCTGTTGATTTCTCTTCCATTTTGCACCCACCAACCAAACCTATATAGAAGGAGAAACAATTCTTTTTCTCCATTATGATCTTGTATCACCACCATTAACCACAAATGTACATAACACCGCCTGACCTCCTGGATCCCCGATGATGTTTCGTATCATACGGGTACAATGCTACGTTGAATCTTGCTTGAACTACTTAAATGGTAGTCTTCACGTTTTCCCTTTATCTAGTAGTATGGCGTTCCATGTCATTAATACAAGAACATATGTTAGTTTTTTGTCCAGATTTACTTGTATTATTGGCATAAAACATCACTATGATTGTATACTCGAGTTATACAAGTTGATCTCACCACAAGGCCTTAGGGGAGCACAGAGGCCCACCTTGAGTCACAAAAACATAAGGGCTTGATGTGGGCTCCAGATATCTAGCCATTGGTAATGAGCCATAGTTTTATAACCCGATTCATGGAGAGAGCCATTGGCTGGCTGGCCCACCCATGATCCGTATGAACTTTATGTGGCACTACTATTCTTTACACGATATTTTATACACGTTTTTATAAGGTCAATTTCGTAATATATTATAACGGTCCAAACAGTTTTATCTTTTAGAATATCATTTATAGATTATACTTGAAAAAATTAGACAAATCCAAAATTATTAAGACATTCATTTATAATGAAGTAAATAGACGAATATCATTCTACAAATAAACCCTAAACTCTTAATCCAACATTCATATGATTTCAAACTACTTTTGACAAACATGATCTTTAAGAGAAGACCTAAAATATAAACACCTATCGTTAAAATACATCAAGAAGAGACCCCACACTTTTCGTGTAAAAAAATTGTGTAAAAATAGTAGTGCCACATATATGTCCCCAATAATATTTTATATATCACTAACTAAATAGTACACAAATGTATTAATTTCTGCTACATTAACTCGGAGATGATTTTCTCATATACCTTTTAGCTTCTCACACACCTCACTTAGCAATTAAAAGAATCATGCCCTGATTTTCAAACTAAGATTTTATTGAAAATTTGGATTGCATATATATGGTGAAATGAAAATAGATCCTCTCTGGATCTCTTCCACCAAATCCCACGGATCACGTGATCAGGACCCTTAAAATTTGATCAAGAGGCTAAAACATGTTCATGAGATCTTCATTGTATTAAACAAATCCCAAGTTTTGAGAGACAAGTACAAGTGTTGACTTTCATCTCTCTTTTGACTTGTATAACATGGCCACAGCGAATTTAACTCATCTAAACCCCCCAAATTATAATCCACTATTTCTTGGATCCCAAGAAACCAGGCATCTAGCCCGCCTTTAACACTGGGCATTGCTTAATCCATATATTTATGTATAGAACTCCAATGTTTACTCTTAACTGTTCGTACTTCTCGATAAACGAGCTATAAAATGGCGCTGCTTGCGGCAAGAATGGAGGGGCACTCGAGAGGAATGCTTCTCTTATTTTGTGTTTTCTAGGTCCCTGTGTATGAACAATTGCTGCAATTCCAGATGTTTGTTTGCTTATTCATCAAGAATATGTGAATAAGATTGAATGGATCTAACTTGGCATGGCCTTGCTCCCCAAGAATGATCGGAAAAGGATGAAAGCTAGGCGGGGTCGGTGGAGGGGAACCTCGTGCCCAGCTCCGGTCACAGTGACAAATGTCAGCCCCTTGTATACTTGGCTCCAGCCACCAACCTACATAAACAAGAGAACAAGAGCTTTTCAGAAGAAGAAATATTAGGTTTCCTAATACAAAATCAGTGACCAACCAAAGATTACCAAATTTTCAAGGTTGACATGCTAATTTACTGATCCTTGTGTAACAGTAGAAGCCAACACCATGCATTTGATAATTTCATTAACACAAAAAGTACAGAGGGGACCAGAAAACTGAACACCCGAAACCCGCTTAGGGATATATAGATGCTATTGACCCATGCAGAGAAAGCCAAACTCAGTTCCCCGAAGTAGGAGGACATGGTAAACCATCAAGCCAACACCATGTATTTAACATGAAAGTGCTTACCCGGCATATCCTAGGGTTCATACATTTGGGAACTCATCCAACAAATGCCCAGTGCCAAACAAGTAACAACAGAAGATTGCAATATTTGTGCACTAACACGGATAACTGGTACCAAATAAGTGAACATCTCAAAACTATGACCATTTACGGTGATTACCACACCAACTTCCGTGTTTTGTACCAATGCTATGTAGTATGGATTAATATACTGCAGAATTATTAAGATATTATGGTAGGGAAAGGATATATTCAATTAACGAAGGATATGGTTGTTAGAATCACATAGAGTCCGTGGCCCAAAGAAAACAATAAAGAAGAGAAAAATATCGCAATGTAAAAGGCTACAATGTCTATTGACTGAAACTACAATAAAAAACATGAAATTGCAATTTAAGTTCCAGGTTCTATTCTAAAGAATATTTCTTCGATAGCACTAACCTTTCCATTGTCGTTCCATGGGTACCAGTTGGTAATGGTTGGTAGCTTCAGAGCATCTATGGAGTAACGAGTTGCAGTCACAGGAACCACCGAATCAGTGTCTCCACTGGACAAAAAGTTCATTAATAGCCATGTCAGCTACAGGACGCATGGTAAAACCAAGAAAAGAAAAATGATGGAGGAAATCTGGGATTCTACCCAGAATACACATTGCAAATTTAAGCATTAGCAAGCATAAAACACAAACCCAAAAAAACAAAAAAAAAACAAAAATAATACTAATAGCTAGCCTCTTTAAACTTTAAACCCTGCAACGACAGCAAGCATAATAACAGTGACCGTGAGGTTCCTTTTGTAGATAAACATGAAGTACCGGAAATTTGATTCAGCAAAATGATTATATTTGTTTATTCCAGCCTATAAATTTAAAGGAAATGTGCTTCTGGGAAAACTGATTTTCAGTCAGCAAAGTAAATTTTATAAGTTACCATCAAGTTTCCAAACATGCAACAAAACATGTCACAGGGAACTGGGGATCAGGAGTTGGTAAAGTGGTCGGATTACCTGAATACCCATATCCTAAGACCAGCTGCTATGAGCTCCTTGTAAATAGGAAGCATGGACAATGGAGAATCGGCCCAGTAGTTTCCAACAATATCACTGTGGAAAGCACTTAATGTAAGATTTTCTATTTAAAAAATTGCGAGAAAACTGCTGAATATTGAGAAGAAAATACGTACCTGCATGTTTTCCATGGGTAAGAAACTCTAGTTACATTGGCATGGAGTGCCTTTTGAACGTCTGGACGGTTGAAATACACTTCAGAATACCTCTCAGTGCAGGGATCATATGCTCTGGACATCCATGGCTGAGTTTATACAGAGTAAGATTAACTAACAGATCTTCTGAATGATTTAAAGGAAAAGAGGCAATTGAGAAAATTCTTAGACTAAGAGGAGCATATTGATGATGCTAATGTGGTAATGAAACATAAGCAACCAAATTTTAACTACTTATGCCATCACTGACAAAATTCAGAATCAGAACTTTCATCTTCATAGAATTTGGAGATATCGCAAACCGTTACCAAACTATAAGATAAGAAGAAAATGGTGACTGTCGGGATAAATCAACAGTAAGGGAGAGAATTTTTAAATCAGAACTTACGTAGTGACCCCTCAAATTGCGCTTTAAGGATGCAGTGCTATTGCAAGGACGAGTATAAATACTGTATGGATCGATATTTCCCTGCTCCGTTTCTGCTATTTTAAGCGCCCTCATGCATTCCACTGATGGATGCTGAGAGGATCCAAGGTCACAGGTTACACGTAGCACCCGATAGGTAGAATCAGAAATTAAACCATGGTTCCACCAGTATTCAAACGTGCCAATAAAATCATGGTAATCATCAGTCACAGCATTTCCCACCTGGCAAAAAGAAATAAATCAACAAGATAAATACA